AAAGGGGACTGCCCTGTAAAGCACCACTCCAATGTAAAGGGGGGCTATAATGTGAAGGGGATCTGAGGACACTGTGGGACTGCTTTAAATGGATGACTGTGCTGTAAAGGGGGATTTTAATGTCAAGGTCAATCACAGCCAGTGAGAAGGGAGCGGGAGGTGGGGCCAAGCCTTGCTCTGTGTGTCAATGGACACACATAGCTGACTAAGGAGCGAGCAATCACGAGCAAGCCGCTTGCTATGGGGACACTCAGCAGAGGGGAGGAGTGCTGGCGGGGGACTCAAGAAAAAGAGGATTGGGTCTGCTCTATGCAAAACCATTGTGCAGAACAGTTAAATGTAACCGGTTTCTTATTTTAAAAAAAAATGTATTTTTCCTTTTAGTATCACTTTGACATTAACCCTGCAGGACTCTGGGAATGTCACCAATGCTTTGAATTACACGAATTCTGTGAATACATGTTTATATAGTAGTTATAAGATGTACTATACCTGGCAATCGTCCCAGTCATGAAGGACATGGCCAAAGTCTGAAAAAAGGAAATATTTCAAATCAAGTAAACTGTAGACAATAAAAAACACAGAACTGTAAAACTACAAATGTATCTTTTCCATAAACCCAGTGGATACATTTTCTTTTAAGAGCTTATTCTAGTATTAAGTAGAGTTGTTTACATGACATGAGAAGTCTCTCTTGCCTTGGTGTTTGCTCTCCAGGAACTCGGGGGTCACTAGTAGCATTATCCACATGATGAGGAGTGTCATCGTCCTCCCCAACTCGAGATATTGTGGAGCTTTATTTCTGGGTGATGTTCTAGGAACATAGGGAGAGTCCACTAATTGTTGATTTTGCCTTAGGGCCGGTACACACTGCATGCGTTTCAGTTGCTTTTTTTCTGCATCCAAAATGCACAGAAAGTAGGTTATATGGTGGTCAATGTCATCGTTTACATCAGTGCTTGCAGTTCCAGTGCGTGCCGGTTGCATGAAAAAAAAAAGTAGAAACAGGCTGCATTTTTTCTGCACAGAACTGTACTGGAACACGGTAAAATGCATCAAAAACACCGGAACGCACTAGAATGCACATGTCCCTATTTGAATAGAACAAAAAGAGAGAGAAAAAAATGAACTGAAATGCATAAAAAACACATTGGAACGCATCAAAAATGCATTAAACATGCACCGGAATGCATCAAAAACGCATATGCGGAAACACATCTGGACTGTGCTTCTATAGTGTGAACCGGCCCTTAAAGTGGTTGTAAATCATTACATATACCCAGTGAAGTGACTGGCCTCAGGGGATGCATAGAGAATAAAACAGACTAGAATAGAATATAAAAGAACAGAATAGACTTTAAAAAATGGAATAGATTAGAATAGATTTGTGAAATTCGAATCGATCTGAAAATAACGAATATACGAAATGAATCTGAATATACAAAACAAATTCTGTATAGAATAAAATAGAAAGTATATAACTGTCTTCCGAAATTAAAATTTTTAACAGAATAAGTTTGAATTCGCATAGGATAGATTAGAATAGAAAAGAATAGAATAGAAAAAAACAATACAATAGAATAAAATAGAAAGAATATAACGGTCTTCTGAAATTTAAATTTGGAATAGAATAAATTCAAATAGAATAGATTAGAATAGAAAAGAGTAGGATAGAAAAAAATAGAATATCAACAAACAGGATAAAAAGAGACCAGAATAAAATGGTAAATACTCACAAATACAGCCAGAAGGATTATATTCCAGGGGAAGCGCCTCCTGAAAAGGGAAAGATTTAAACAGTTATAACAATGTATGTATGTTGTACCATTAAAAAAAAAAAAAAAAACTGGGATATTTTGGTGTTATGTTTTGAAGTCAGTGGGGCAAAAATCAGAAGGCTTTTAAAGCCCAATTCCAGTTCTTTGGGGTTTGTTTTAATCAATTTGTCCAGCTGTTGTAACAATTGAAAAATCATATCTGGCTGCAATACTCACCTCATCTCCAGTGCTGTCCCCAGAAGACTCCAAGCTCTTTGGTCCAGCCATTCATCCCACCTCTTGTGAGTCCAGGTCATCATGGACCCTAGATGGGGAGCAGGCCATGCACTCACAGAACAGTCCTGCCAGAAGTGCCACTGATGTCATTATATCATTGGGGACCACCCAGTGCTGCAAGTGAAGACGGCCAGGACCCTTTTATCTTAATGCATACCCTTCTACTAGTTGTGCCCCATCCATCCCCCAAATACTTACCCGAGTTCTGTATCGATCCAGCGTTGTGCCCGTCTGGTTCTCTCTCTCTCCCCATTCTCAGGCTCAGAGACAGCAGTGTGAGCCATTGGCTCCTGCTGCTGTCAATCAAATGCTAAGAGGAAGGAGCCAGGCGGGGGCTGAGCCGGGCTGTGTGTCAACAAACACACGGCCTGGCTCTGGAGCAAGCTTGCAGGTGTGCCACCATAGGAAGCGGCTTCCTAGGGGGGCACACCAAGAGGAGGAGGAGCTGATTGTGTCAGCAGGGGACCTCAGAACAGGGGGTTCAGGGCTGTGTGAAACATATTGCACAGAGCAGGTAAGGATAACATGTTTGTTATATAAAAAAAATGTATATACAGTACTATGCAAAAGTCTTAAGCAGTTGTGAAAAAATGCTGTAAATGAAGAATACTTTCAGAAATAGAAGTGCTAATAATTTATTTTCCATTTTGTTAACTGCCAAAAATAAACTAACAGAAGAGAAATCCAAATCCAATCAATATTTGGTGTGACAACCCTTCACCTTCAAAACAGCATCAATTCTTCTAGGTAGACGACACAGTTTGTTGAAGGAACTCGGCAGGTAGGTTGTTCCAAACATCTTGGAGGACTAAGCCCAGATCTTCTGTGGATGTCGGCTGCCTCAGATCCTTCTGTCTCTTCATGTCATCCCAGACAGACTCCATGATGCTGAGATCAGGGCTCTGTGGGGGCCAAACCATCACTTACAGGACTCCTTGTTGTTCTTTACACTGAAGATGGTTCTTAATTACATGATTGCATGTTTGGGGTGGTTGTCCTGCTGCAAAATAAATTTGGGGCCAATCACACACCTCCCTGATGGTATGGCATGATGGAGAAGTATCTGCCAGCACTGGGGACACCATTGATCCTGACCAAATCTCCGACTGCATTTGCAGAAATGCAGCCCCAAACTTGCAGGGGACCTCCACCATGCATCACAGTTGCCTGCAGACACTCATTATTGTACCGTTCTCCAGCCCACTGGCCAACAAACTGCCTCCTGCTACAGCCAAATATTTCAGATTTTGACTCATCAGTCCAGCAGCCATTTTTCAGCACCTCAGTTCCTATGTTATCATGCATTGTTGAGTCGCTTAGCCTTGTTTCCACGTCGGAGGTATGGCTTTTTGGCAGCAATTCTTCCATGAAGACCACTTCTGGCCAGACTTTGGACAGTAGATGGGTGTACCTGGGTCTCACTGGTTTCCACCAGTTCTGTGCTGATGGCACTGCTGGACATCTTCCGATGATGAAGGGAAGTAAGCATGATGTGTCTTTCATCTGCTGCATTAGGTTTCATTGGCCGACCACTGCGACTACAGTCCTCAACGTTGCTGCTCCTTTGCACTTCTTCAAAAGAGCTTGATGAATTAAATCTAATTAAATCTAATTTGAAGCCAATGGGTAGTCACATGAAATATTGATTTGATTTAGATTTTTTCTGTTCGCTCACTTTGCATTTCGTAAATTGATAAAAATAAACAATTCAAATATGTATTTCTGAAAGCATTTTTTACTTTACAGCATTACTTCACACCTGCCTATAACTTTTGCACAGTACTGTATATATGCCTTTACAACTGTTTTAAAAGGGAAAGTTCATATTCGTAGCATGTTACGTGTTACACCCATATTCAGGGTGTAACATGTAACGATCTGACCAGCCCCCGATCCCCACTTTGACAGCTAGTGGGGGATCTTCTTCCCCTCCGCTAGCTGTCAAATTTTTAAAAAATGTGGCTGTGCGGAGCTCCAACCACCCAGCCGTGTCATTCATTCACAGCATTCTGTGAATGAGAGACTACAAGTCCCGGTAGCCTTAGCGGCTGTCAGTTTGTAGTCCTCAATGAAGTACCACGGTGCTGTGGAGTGAGTAGCGCTGCGCTTCATGAATGGTCCTGTAGTCTTCCTGGACCTGTCACGTGTCCCAAAAGACTACAGGGAGGGGGGGAGGGAGGACACCTTCTGCTTCCGATCGCCTAGGCGATCGGACCAGAAGTGGGAGCGGTTACCTGTCAAATTCGGCTACCCGCTTCCCCCCGCCCTCCAAAGGTGCCAATCCTTAATGGGGAGTGGGGGAGCAGTCCTTAAAGTGGAACTTCCCCTATTGGGTGGAGCTCCACTTTAAGCCCATTTTACTATGCAGTGCCACGTGACAAATGTAAATTTTGGTGAAAATGGAGCACGAGGGTCCAAAAAAGACACAGAAAAAGAAAAACCACTAACTAGGGAAAAGAAAAAATAAACCCACTATGTATTTAAATGCCAGTTTTGGCTACGCATATATACATATATATGGCAACGCAGAGACTCACCTGGGCCCTTCACAGCAGGCCAGTACTATGTAGGTGACAAAGAACACTCCACTGTGAAATGAAAATGACAAGTTATTAAACATAAGAAATATGACAGGACATATCAAATGGGGGTAGATTTACTAAAGGCAAATAGACTGTGCACTTTGCAAGTGCTGTTGCACTCATTTTCCCCAGAGCTTAGTAAATGAGGGGAAGCTCTGCCGATTTTCGTCATCCAATCATGTGCAAGGAAAAATGCTGTTCTTTTTTTATTTCCCTTGCATGTGATTGGGTATTCTTTACAAAGTGAAGAGTTGCCACATTTCAATTTGCTAAGAAAAATGAGTGCAACTGCACTTGCAGAGTGCACAGTCTATTTACCTCTAAATCCACCCTATGGAGTAGGAATGTGTGTACTTACTATGAAGCATAGTAGACAGCAGGATTTTGTATTACAAAGCTGCGTACCGGTGTCCTGTACAAAACACAACATTATATTTAAATTAGAAAAAAAATGCATAACACCAAACTCTGAGCAAACATAAAATACACGGATTAATGTAGCTCTGTAATCATTACTACATCATTAAAATGTGTTTTAAAATGCAAGCAGTGTAAGTACTTACATTTTTGATCTGATATAAGCCTCTTGCACTCCCTGTACAGTAGGGCTGGAGTGTGGGAGGAAGACGCTACACATGGAGCCAATTAGCATGCTGATAGAAGCAGAAAAAAGAGTGAGAGAGATGAGCTCATCACTGAGCTTCTTTTCCTCTCACTGTCTAGTCACAGGCTGGGGCAAGTCGAGGGCAACCTGGGCTCAATGGAAGTGGGCTTAAGAAAACAGGTCATCAGACTTAGGCCATCTAGTGGTAGAATAAAAGTAATGCTGGGAAAATCTCTGGATTGAAGCTGAATGTTCTAGCAAAAGCAGATTTTGTTTTTTTTTTTTTTTTTTAATAGGCCATTTATTTGTATTTTGTTATTTAAGTTTGGAGCTCTGCTTTAAAATCTGCTCTCCTTCTCCATCTCCCTACTGCAGAAGTCCACTCTGGGTAACCCCCCTTGTTGGATGGTGTCAGAGCTTACTTCTCTTAAGCTGGCTATACAGGAAAAGAATTGAGTACAACATTTTTTTCATTTTAAGAACATTCATCTGATTTTCTAATTGTTGGTGGGGTCAAATCAACGTTTGTTAACAACACTAGTGATAAGAAAATTTGAAGGAGCAAGCTGGAAAATTTTTCTCGAGCTTATAAATTTCGAATGTGGTTTTTGTTTAGGAAATGTCTATTCGTTCCAAAATCGATTGTTAAAAGCCAAAGAAATTTTGAATGACAGTCACGGAGTCGTCAAATGGAATTTTTGTATGAAAGTTCATTCCAAATTTCTACTAGTGTATGGTCAACTTTAGACAGTTGTCACTGGGAAAGGTATCCCCACAGGAAGATTTCCCCTCAACACCACTTCCTGTGAAAACTGCTAAATTTTGGATTTTAGGACAGTGGGTGCAGCCATGCAAATCATTCCTTATACCCCACTGGCCAAGATGCACCACCAGAAGCATTGGTGCAAATATAGCCTAATATCATATTGGAATTCCAATTGGCCTTCAGCTTTTTGGCCATCTTCAATGCAGTGTCTGAAAACCATGGCTTCTATGGAGTATCCAGTGTGTGGAAACCAATGGCTTCTATGGAGTATCAAGAGTAAGGAAACCATGGATTCTATTGGATTTAATGAATGGAAACAAATGGCTTCTATGGAGTATTCAGTATGTGGAAACCATGGCTTCTATGGAGTATCAAGAGAATGGAAACCATGGGTTCTATGAAGTATTCAATGTATGGAAACCATGGCTTCTATGGTGTGTTTAAAGTATGGAAAGCATGGGTTCTATGGAGTATTCAAAGAACGGACACCATGGCTTCTATGGAGTATTTAGTGTATGGAAACTATGACTTCTATGGAGTATTCAATGTATAAAAACCATGGCTTCTGTGGAGTATCCAGACTATGGAAACCATGGCTTCTTTTGAGATGGTCAAAGTATGGAAACCATTGCTTCTATGCAGTTGGTCAAAGTATGTAAACCACGAGTTCTATGGAGTATCCAGTGTGTGGAAACCAATGGCTTCTATGGGATTTAATGAATGGAAACAAATGGCTTCTATGGAGTATTCAATGTATGGAAACCATGGCTTTTACAGAGTATCCATAGTATGTAAACCATGGCTTCTATAGAGATAGTCAAAGTATGGAAACCATTGCTTCTATGCAGTTGGTCAAGGTATGTAAACCACAAGCTTTATGGAGTATCCAGAGTATTGAAACCATGGCTTCAATGGTGTTTAATGAATGGAAAACATGGCTTCTATGGAGTATTCAGTGTAAATAAACCAATGGCTTCTGTGGAGTATCAGGAGTATGGAAAGTAAGGGTCCTATGGCATATTCAAAATATGGAAACTATGGTTTCTATGGAGTATTGAATGTATTGAAACCATGGCTTCTATGAAGTAGGGCTTCAGACCTAATGAGAGAGTATTTCAACCCTTCCCTTCTTTATCCACAAAAAGGTATTAGTTTAGATACACCAGCTTATAATTAAGTAAACATTTTCCTGTATATCTACTCAATCTAGATAGAACTCCTTGTCATAGCAAATTAAAATAAAAAAAAAACCCCACAACTTTAAATGTAGATACTGTATGTCTATTGGTTAGTGTAGCAAAGCACATTACCCCCAGGTCATTTGTGTACTTTGGTATATTACAGAGCCTATGGCATTTATACTATCCAATAGACAAATCTCCATTTAGGGATTTGTTTGTTTTAAATTGTTTATTATGGGTTTATTATCAGCAGCCTTGCATCAGTCCAATGCCTCTCTTGGAAGGAACTGCTCTGCAGCCATAAAAGTCACCTGAATTAGAAATATTGATTTGTTAGTACATGGGAGATATTGTTTCTTAGGATCAGAAAGGTGAAGACTCTTCAGAAGTTTTGACTATAGATACATTTTAATCGGGAACAATTGGCTGAATTGAATGCACACTTCATAGTCACCTCATGTGGTTTATTTTATTGATTAATGTATTATGACCGTAAAAATCAATTCACAGAGATTATGATAAGGGTTATCTCTGCTGACAATTGTGAGTATTAAGGAGAAAAAGAAAGAGTGTCATAAATGCAGTAATAAAATGACACTTAGCAAGATATAGAAATGATTTATAAGATAATGGCTGATTTCTAGACAAACAGCCAAATACACAGAATAAATACATATAAGGGAACTGTATTACCTGCCAAAGGATTTGTATTTCTGTCTATCCAGTCCTGATATTTACACAGCTCAGCTACATTGCACTGCCTAATCTGACAGAGGAGGGACTTGATTTTTCTTTGCTGCAGTTACAGTCAGGTCCATAAATATTGGGACATCGACACAATTCTAACATTTTTGGCTCTATACACCACCACAATGGATTTGAAATGAAACAAACAAGATGTGTTTTAACTGCAGACTGTCAGCTTTAATTTGAGGGTATTTACATCCAAATCAGGTGAATGGTGTAGAAATTACAACAGTTTGCATATGTGCCTCCCACTTGTAAAGGGACCAAAAGTAATGGGACAGAATAATAATCATAAATCAAACTTTCACTTTTTAATACTTGGTTGCAAATCCTTTGCAGTCAATTACAGCCTGAAGTGTGGAACGCATAGACATCACCAGACGCTGGGTTTCATCCCTGGTGATGCTCTGCCAGGCCTCTACTGCAACTGTCTTCAGTTCCTGCTTGTTCTTGGGGCATTTTCCCTTCAGTTTTGTCTTCAGCAAGTGAAATGCTCAATCGGATTCAGGTCAGTTGTGAAGGGTGTTTTCTTCACCAGGGAAAGAATTCTTCAGTTACATCCACCACAGTTGTTTTCCGTGGTCTTCCGGGTCTTTTGGTGTTGCTGAGCTCACCGGTGCGTTCCTTCTTTTTAAGAATGTTCCAAACAGTTGTTTTGGCCACACCTAATGTTTTTGCTATCTCTCTGATGGGTTTGTTTTGTTTTTTCAGCCTAATGATGGCTTCACTGATAGTGACAGCTCTTTGGATCTCATCTTGAGAGTTGACAGTAACAGATTCCAAATGCAAACAGCACACTTGAAATGAACTCTGGACCTTTTATCTGCTCATTGTAATTGGGACAATGAGGTAATAACACACACCTGGCCATGGAGCAGCTGAGAAGCCAATTGTCCCATTACTTTTGGTCCCTTAACAAGTGGGAGGCACATATGAAAACTGTTGTAATACCTACACCGTTCACCTGATTTGGATGTAAATACCCTCAAATTAAAGCTGACAGTCTGCAGTTAAAGCACATCTTGTTTGTTTCATTTCAAATCCATTGTGGTGGTGTATAGAGCCAAAAATGTTAGAATTGTGTTGATGTCCCAATATTTATGGACCTGACTGTAAGTAACATTTATAGGTCTTGTTCCTCCCCCAGCCTGTGATTTGACAGTAAAAAGGAGAAGCTGCTGTCTGATGAACTTATCTCCGTCACTCTGCTCTCTTCTCCTATCATCATGCTCCTTGTTAGTATATGAACACTGTAGCACATCTAACTGGTTCTTCGCCTGATTCTACCAGGTTGAGCTCTGCTGTATAGGGATTGCAGGAATGAAATTTGGGTACTTACACTCCTTGTGTTTAAAATATATTTAACATTATTAAAGAGGTTTTAAAGGCTATGCTTTCTTTGCATGAAGGTAAAAAAACCTTCTGTGTGCAGCAACCCCCCAGCCCCCTAATACTTATCTGAGCCCCATCTTGATTCAGTGATGTGCACAAGTGCAGCGGCTCTCTGGGGTCTCTCCCTCCTCACTGGCTAAAACAGCAGTGGGGGGTCATTGGCTCTCGCTACTGTCAATCACAACCAGTGAACCAATGAGGAGAGAGGGGTGGGGCTGAGCCACAGCTTTGTGTGTGAATGGACATGCAGAGCAGCGGTTCGGGAGTAAGCCTGCTTGGGTGCCCCTATAGCAAGCTACAGGAGGGAGGGGCCAGGAGCACCCGTGGGGAACCCAAGAGGAGGAGGATCGGGGCCGCTCTGTGCAAAACCATTACAGGGAGCAGGTAAGTATAACATGTTTGTTATTTTTTTAAACTTGCCTTTAATATCACTTTAATTAATATAGAGCTTTATTTAATATATCTGCCTGCAGTTCTGCTGGCTTTCCGTGAACATGCCACAACTCCTAGTGAAATGGCCACAGTAGTCACATGATTGGAAGCCAGTCCTGTCAGCAAACCAATTGCTAGCCGGGACCGAGAGTGGTCTTCAACAACTCACACAATGTGCTGGGAGCAGGGGCGGACTGACCATTTGGAAACTCGGGCACTGCCCGAGGGCCCAGGGTCAGTAGGGGGCCCCATGAGATGCCCCTGGTACCTTTTTCATAGACTTTTTTGAGTTTGGGCAAGGACACAGGGGCCCCATGATCCCTATTGCCCGGGGGCCCCATGAGTTGTCAGTCAGCCCCTGGCTGGGAGTGTGCGGTCAGTGTGCTTCACAAACTTTCGCCATGTCAGTGACACATATATGTGGCATGTGGGTACTAAAGCCCACTCTTTTGCCACTGCACATATGTGTTGGGCGACCGTAAAGGGGTTGCATAGTTAGTCTGGCTGAAAAAAGACAAAAGTCCATCCAGTTCAACCATAAAAAAAAAAAAAAAAAAAAAAGTTATAATCCTACACCCACAGGCAAAAAAAGCCCAGCAAAGCATGAACCAATTTGCTCCTGCAGAGAAAAAAATTTCTTCCTGATCCCCCGAGAGGCAATTGGATATCCCCTGGATCAACTTTAACTGGTTAAAAAGGTCTATTACTGTATATTATCTTTCAGAGCTTTTATATTCACCAAAAAATGATGAGAGATGATGAGCATGGCGTCACAATGGCAATAAGATACAAATGGCAATGAATAGAAAACCTACACAAATGTGAAGATCGCCACAATGCCGACTGTGACCAGTAACTGGACCGATATGATGGCGTAGACCTGAAAAACATGGACACTGTGAATGTGATTAGTGATCATCGCACAAATACAGATACGACGGGATGCAAATAAGAGGTTTCAAAATGCTCAGAATGTCATCTGTACACAAATATTTTGTAAGAAGCAAATTAAAAGAGCAGGGGGATGAGGAGCCATGCAGATTGTAAAAGTAGACTATTTCTTAACCAGCATTAAATAAATAAATAAATATATATATATATATATATATATATATATATATATATATATATATATATCTATCTGGGTCCTAGTGATAAAATATCTGCTAAATGTTCCAAAGATGCAACACAAAGTTAAAGGAAATCCTCTCTTAGGCAAGCCATAGATCAGGGGTGTCAAACTGGTGGCTCTCCAGCTGTTGCAAAACTACAAGTCCCATCATGCCTCTGCCTTTTGGAGTCATGCTTGTACCTGTCAATCTTGCAATGCCTCATGGGACTTGTAGTTTGGCAACAGCTGGAGGGCCGCCAGTTTGACACCCATGCCATAGATGATGCAATTTTCTTTCCTGCACCTCCCATGGCTGCATTGAGAAAATCTCTCAATTAACCCTTCAACACACTCAGTGTTGCTCGGGAAAGCTCTAGTGTTCTGCCCGCAGGGAGCCTTCCTGGCAAACAGAACACAATGATTATAGCCAATTGGCAGTGATCGAATGCAGAAAATCCAACAGGCTGAGTATACTGAAGTCAGTCGAAGGATTGAATCTTGGCCCGTCCCTGCAGAAGCGGTTGAGATTTGATTCATCTATGGCCGGCTTTAGTTGTCACTGGAACAGGGAAATATTTCTCCTCTATTCCTGTTCCAGCACCAACTCTAAAAATTTGAGCTACCCATCACTTTCAGTCCCAGTAACTGTGGCCACCAGAACAGAAGAAAATGGGGACACAGACCGCAAAATGTGAAAAGTAGTAGAGTGCCATGATAAAATAATGGTGTAGCGCTGATAACTATATGTGCAAACTCCACAATAATAAGATGAAAGACATAAATCACATAAATGAATGAATATAAATATATAAGTAATAGATCTTTCAAGATCTAGAAAAACAGTGTCTCAAACTGTGATATTATCAGTACACAAAGTGCATTTGATGAAGCTGTTCCTATGCCTGGACCCTCATACAGTGACAATACCCAGTCCCACTTGGGACCAAACCCCAAAAAACTAGGTGCTATATACAGTGGATCCCAAAATAAGGGATATGATCACAAATAAAGTGAATTATATATAAAGTGTATCCCAAAATTGGGATATAAACCAAATAAAGTGACTAGTGAATAAATTAAACACAATATATTAATAATAAACTTCATAAACGCATAAAAACGATGAAAAGTGTCCAACAAGCTGCCAAAAAAAAATAACAAAGATGGCAATGGCTGCCAAAATGTGCCTATATCTTCAAACCACGTGCTATAGTGCTGGTGCCGATGGTGAGCATATATCCATAGATGGCAGGCATGCCCCCTCACCTCCATGCTGCGACCCAAAAGGGTCTACTTGCCTTTGGGATCACTCTGGATCCTACAGGTACCAACTCTCCAGGTCGCTCTGATTCCACTGAACCTCACTGGTAACTTCCTTCCAATATGAATCACTCTTCCATTCAGGGATAAACGCAGTGCTGGCCAATAAATGAGTATAACATTACAGCCATGAAAGAACAAGAAGACAAGTCTCCCATAGTGCAACACTATTTAATATGTTAAAAGCATGATAAATCGCCAAATATTGCACTCACATTAACGCAGATCAAACAAGGCTTGTCACACCATTCAGTATGGGTGTACTGTGTAAACCTAGAGTAGCAAGATGGTGCTCCGCCGGAAGTGCGTCAGTACGTCGTACCTACGCGTTGCGTCACGTCACGAAGTTACCAGTGAGGTTCAATGGAATCAGAGCGACCTGGAGAGTTGGTACCTGTAGGATCCAGAGTGATCCCAAAGGCGTGTAGTGTAGACCCGTTTGGGTCGCAGCATGGAGGTGAGGGGGGCATCCCTGCCATCTATGGATATATGCTCACCATCTGCACCAGCACTATAGCAGGTGGTTTGAAGATATAGGCACATTTTGGCAGCCATTGCCATCTTTGTTATTTTTTTTTGCAATTTGCTGGACACTTTTCATCATTTTATGCGTTTATGAAGTTTATGTTTATATATTGTGTTTAACATTATTCACTAGTCACTTTATTTGGTTTATATCCAAATTTTGGGATACACTTTATATATCATTCACTTTATTTGTGATCATATCCCTTATTTTGGGATCCACTGTATACAGCACCTAGTTTTTTGGGGGTTTGGTCCCAAGTGGGACTGGGTATTGTCACTGTATGAGGGTCCAGGCATAGGACCAGCTTCATCATATGCACTTTGTGTACTGATAATATCACAGTTTGAGACACTGTTTTTCTAGATTTTGAAAGATCTATCACTTATATATTTATATTCATTCATGTATGTGATTTATGTCTTTCATCTTATTATTGTGGAGTTTGCACATATAGTTATCAGCGATGCACCATTATTTTATCATTTATATTTGTCCACTTATAGGTAGAGGATAGGGTGTTAGCAGCATATAGAATTTAGGTTCCATATTAGCGCAGGGGGATCTCTGTCACAGTAGAGTGCCATGCCAATGTTTCTAAAACCCAGAATGTATTTTATTAAAATAATGCGAGCCAACACATTCTGGGGGTTTGCATGGGTCCCCCTTCTTCAGGGCTTCTGAGAACAGAGATCATGACTGGACTAGTTGCATAGTCCTCCATCAACGTACAGCCCCCAGCAGTATGCAGAGTCTGACCCCGCCTCTCAGGACCTGACTTCAGTACAACCAACCTGGTTGTTTTTGTACGATTACTGCTGCTGGATATAGCCTGCGGCAGTGATCATTGTATTCTGATGGTGGAGATACCTCCCACAATATCACAGCGGGAAAGATTCCCCTATCAACACTGACTGTGCTGATGGGGGAATCAAGTGATTTTCTTTTCTTCAACCTGTGGTTGAAGGAAAGAAAATCGCTTAATGTATGGCCAGCCTTTAGAGACTCCATTGGGAGTTCTCCTCACCAGATTTCCAAATTCAGCCATGGAGCCCTGACTGGTTCCTTGTCATTTGGAAAACAAGAAAATTTGGGGGAGGGGCAGAGACACAAATTACTGTAACAAATTCTTGGCTCTGTATTTTTTGGGAGATAATGACAAGAAAAATTCCTGGGCCAATAGTGCTCACTCAGAACGGAGTTATTAATTTTGGGAGGAGCTGGTCTTTTACATATTTGGATATAGAGAAACATGTGACCAACCTATACAGCCCTGGTGTCACACCTGTGGCCCAGGGGCTTCATGCAGCCCTTTGGAACTTTTTGTGTAGGCCCGTAGTCTATGACCATTTCTTGCAGCAGGCCCACAGCCTCTGACCATCTCTTGCAGCATGCCCACTGCCTCTGACCATCTCTTGTAGAAAGCCCGTAGTCTCTGACCATCTCTTGCAGCAGGCCCACAGCCTCTGACCATCTCTTGCAGCAGGCCCACAGCCTCTGACCATCTCTTGCAGCAGGCCCACAGCCTCTGACCATCTCTTGTAGCAGGCCCACAGCCTCTGACCATCTCTTGCAGCAGGCCCACAGCCTCTGACCATCTCTTGCAGCAGGCCCACAGCCTCTGACCATCTCTTGCAGCAGGCCCACAGCCTCTGACCATCTCTTGCAGCAGGCCCACAGCCTCTGACCATCTCTTGCAGCAGGCCCACAGCCTCTGACCATCTCTTGCAGCAGGCCCACAGCCTCTGACCATCTCTTGCAGCAGGCCCACAGCCTCTGACCATCTCTTGCAGCAGGCCCACAGCCTCTGACCATCTCTTGCAGCAGGCCCACAGCCTCTGACCATCTCTTGTAGCAGGCCCACTGCCTCTGACCATCTCTTGTCACAGCCTCTGACCATCTCTTGCAGCAGGCCCACTGCCTCTGACCATCTGTTGTAGCAGGCCCCGTAGTCTCTGACAATCTTTTGTAGCAGGCCCACAGTCTCAGACCATCTCTTGTGGCAGGCCCAAAGTCTCTGACCATCTCTTGTAGCAGGCCCACAGCCTCTGACCATCTCTTGTAGCATGCCCACAGTCCCTGACCATCTCTTATAGCAGGCCCATAGCCTCTGACCATCAAGTATATCCTGCCCACATTGTCTGGCTACTTTCTTGTATCATATCCATAGTCTTTAACAATATGCTATGTGATGGCGGTCTCTGACACTAAATATAATGTGTGGTCCATTGGCAATGTCAGGGGCTAGACTTGAAGCCCCCATATTAAGTTGATCACTACTGCCATATAGTGTATAAGCTGCTTCTGTCCATACCCTGAGCAGTCAGGTATCCCTTTCACAACGTAGGCATCTATCTCACCAATTCCCCTGAATCATGGTTCCCTGCTTCATCCAGACATTAGGGATGAAGGACAATGGAGTACAATAAAGCAGGCAGCACCTAGTGTACGGGAGACTCACCCTGCGGATGAAAGCGTGTCTGACGGCCTTGTCATCCCAAGAGCCGAACTGTCCTTCCCCATCTCCAGTGTTGTACACATTGGGATCAGTGGCACCTACAAGGTAGACATGACAGAATACAATATTACAGTATGGATCCAAATATGTTTTGGGGGGTTTAAACTGTAGGTGAACCCTTACATGGTAAAACAACCCATGCAGTTTAAAACAGAAATGCAAGGCAAAATGTGTGTGTGTGTAAAATTATAAAATACTTTTTTTGTTTTCTATTTAATAAGTGGTCACAGGACCTCTGTTCTCAGCTACAAAAGGGGCTTGGTGGGGGGTGGAGATTGCAAGGGAGGATGTCAACAAGCAGCAGAAAATCTCAATGAATAGCTATGCATGAGGAGTGTCACCACAAGCCCTTGGCCATTGGAGGACAGGCAGGCTGTTGCCCCAGCACAGGCAGAAAACTGACCACGTTGGGAAGGATGTGCTTCTATGCCTAGCATGGTCAGTTTGATATAGAAAAGCAGGGGACTGGCAGGATCACCAGGAATTTTACACAAAAGAAGCAAAACAAAGAGAACAGGATACTTTTTAACACAAGTACATGGTACAGCAGGCACATATCAGGAATATGAGACAAAAGGAAAAGAGAAAGCATACAAGCTCAGAGGCTTGTATCAGGCATGACAACCATACTGGTTACTTAGTAGCAACTGTGCATGTATATTCCCCCCACTGCCACCAATGTATGGCATACTAACATATAATAAGGCTCCCAATTTTTGCACCACATCCTAATTGCTTGTAGAAAAATAACCCCCAAGGGAAAATAATTTTACTGGTACCAAGAAGGACTTACAACATTTTAGGAGCAATTATTGTAAATGCATTAACCTCCTTAGCGGTATTCCCGAGTGTAGCTCAGGGGTAAAATTTCTATACCAAAAGCGGTAACCACGAGCTACACTCGGGCTTACCATGCGGCGTTGCTCAGGGGGTCCCTGCAGCACTTACCTTGTCCTTTGCTCCCGCGATGTGTCCCCTGCAGCGTCCCCGGCCATCTCCTCCGGCCGATGCCGGCATCCGGCTTCTGTGTTCCGGTCCCTGTGACGTCGGGACGTACGGCCGCCGGAACCGGCGGGAGATTTGAATTTTTTTAAAAAATGTCATTTTTGCTGTCATTGCTATTTCAATGCATTTCATATACATTTGTCCCGAGTGCTTTGTCCAGCGCCCTGCCTGCATTTTGAATGTTCTTTCTGCCTGGAAACTTAGAAAAGTCCATGGCGTCCAAAAAGCGTCCCTTTACGTCAAAAGCGGTTTTAGAACAGCGATAGTAAATCAGAACCACTTGCAGAATTGAGTGATAATGATTTGTGGGGGAAATTCGTCATCAGACACTGAAAACAATTTTGCGACTTTGCTCAGCGATGTGCGAATTTGCCTCTGTATTTCAAATTTCAGTGTTTTTGGTTTGATTATATTATTGAATTAAATTTATTATTATATTATTATTTTTTATGAATATTTATTAAATTATAATTTATGATTTCGGGTTTTTTTTATCATCCCCGGGATGTTTACTAGACTCTTGTTCGGACAAATTTCAGTGAGTTATTCCTAAAAATTACAGCCTACAATAAAAAAACTACATATTTCCATGCAAAAAAACGGTACCGCTTTCAGCACAAAAAATCAGAAAGAATCATATCGCCGAGGAGGTTAATATATAAAATATACAATATAAAAGAAAACCCTCCTTGGGGGAATGTGCCTCCCCCTAAAGTACACACTGCTATAGGGGGGGTATCTTAAACAATTGTATCAACATATGAATCACTCCTCATTGAGAGATATCGCAAGCTCCACACGCTTCACAAAGATTGCTTTCTTGGAAGAGAGAGTGAATGATTTATAGAAGATGATAAGTGTGTACTTTGAGGGAAGGCACATTGCCCCAAGGGGGGGTTCTTTTAATATGTATTTGTTTTATATGTTTTTATATCAATAAATTTACAATAGTTGGTCTTAAAATGTTTTAAGTCCTTCTTGGTACCAGTAAAGTCCAAAATTCTTTTCCCTTTGGGGGTATTTTTCCACAATGTATGGCATACGTTGGTAGCAGTAAAAGGGTTGATGGCTAACTAGACTCAAGAACAACATTTTACATATGGTAGATTATCAGTCTTTACATATGGCGGCTATATTTGTCATCTTTTACAGGGTGGGAACATTTTCAGCAAGAAAATACCTGTTGATCCTGACAGAAATGCCATGTCCTTATCACTTCCTATGAGCTGAACTAAAAGCACAAACAAGGTTGTCTTTCTTTTGTAAATTACAACTTTCCCGACCTCCCATGTTTAAAGTCCAGCCTGGGTTACAACCATGGCACCCTTCAGTGAGTAAGCGTGGTCACCCTAGGACAGGATGTGTACTACTGGCAGGATCCCCAGTGGGAAAAATAAAAAAAAATCTAAAGAAAAAAAAAAATAAAAGAGATGTGGTGTCTGCATTAAGGACTGGTAATCTGTAGCATATTACATTTCTGTTCCTAAGTTTAAATGCACTTTAAAGTGTTACTAAACCCCGGACCCTGCATTCACTATATCTGGTCTCCCTGGAACCTGCATTCACTATATCTGGTCTCTCCGGACCCCGATTCACTATATCTGGTCTCCCCGTACCCCGCATTCACTATATCTGGTCTCCCCGGACCCTGCATTCACTATATCTGGTCTCCCCGGACCCTGCATTCACTATATCTGGTCTCCCCGGACCCCGCATTCACTATATACGGTCTCCCCTCCCTGACCCCGCATTCACTATATACGGTCTCCCCGGACCCTGCATTCATTATATACGGTCTCCCCGGACCCTGCATTCACTATATCTGGTCTCCCCGGGACCCTGCATTCACTATATTCAGTCTCCCTGGACCCTGCATTCACTATATCTGGTCTCCCCGGACCCTGCATTCACTATATCTGGTCTCCCCGGACCCTGCATTCACTATAGCCGCTCACCATCCCCTCCCCGACACTGCATTCACTATATCCGGTCTCCCCGGACCCCGCATTCACTATATCCGGTCTCCCCGGACCCCGCATTTACTATATCCGGTCTCCCCGGACCCCGCATTCCCTGGACCCCGCATATCCGGTCTCCCCGGACCCTGCATTCACTATATCCGGTCTCCCCGGACCCTGCATTCACTATATAGCCGCTCTCCCCGGACCCCGCATTCACTATATCCGCTCTCCCCCCGGACCCTGCATTCACTATATCTGTCTCCCACAGTACACACAACATGGAAATAAAATTATTTTAGTAACTATAAACTGCTAAATACCTTTTCTCATCAGAAATCAGAGCAGTCTTGTGACTTCTATCAGTGTCCAGCCTAGCACTAGCTAAAGCTTGTAGGAGTTTTCTTTCTACTCTAGGAGGATGCAGAACCCCTGACCTCTGTCTGGACAGTGCTGATTGGCCCTGTGCTGATCACATGCACTCTCCAAAGAAAAAAAAAAAAACCCTCTCTAGCAATACACACCAAACTGAGCATGTGAAAATGCCTACAGTTCAGTCTCTCTCATCAGGAGATAAGAAGTGGTCGCTCGAAAAAGGGGAGGAACAGAGAAGAGAGGATCAAACGGCCTTTTTACACAACGTGGAGGATTAACCCCTTAGGTTCCACACTGAGTTTCCATAAACAAGCATGCTTTACTGCATATACAGACTGATTTTACGGTTGTGGGTTTAATAGCACTTTAATAAATGCAGAAAATGATGGCTGAGGCCAGCTTTGTCTAATTTTATAAGACAGAAATTACCTGGGTGGAGTGGTATATTTGGCAACATCGGCATCACAGGTTTTGGAGGCTCATTGTGCCCGGGTTCTGGGTAGCCCCCGGGTTCTGCGTAGCCCCCAGGTGGTGGGTATCCACCCGGTTGTGGGTAAAACCCTCCAGACGTCCCATACGGGGGTGGATAGCCCCCTGGGGCCGGATAGCCCCCTGGGGCTGGATATCCACCAGGCGGAGGGTAGGCTGGGTTATGCAGTGGATCTCGGTCATCATATGGCGGTGGTGCATTTGGATACGACATGGCGGACTGATTTCTGCACCAGATTCTCTTTTATAACCTGAAAAGAAACAAAAAAAGGAACAAAAAAATTTTATGACATGATAATAAAAACCCGCTGAAAATTACAATTGTCAACAAACTGCCCATCCAGACATAAAAACAAGACATTAACACACATCGGTAAGAGGGTGTATACCATGCCAACAACTTCTACATTTATATCGAATAAAATCAGTGAAAGGACTTAACCCGTTCCTGCCCAGTCCCAGCATCCCTTTTACTGGGCTAATATGCCTGGGGGGTGTGTGGGGAAGGTCTGCTAGATAACCTGACCACTGTGATTGGCTGTCACAGTGGTCACAAGATCAGGATCATTACTAGGTGTTTAAAGCTGTCTTTGACAGCTCAGTCACTGCTGGAAGCACACAGTGAGCATGATCTCAGCACAGAAATCTCTGCGGATCATGGATGCATAGATGTGGCATGCGGATATTAAAGCGGAACTAAAGGGTGAATACTTACCTGTCCAATGGTCCCTCGCTGGCGTCAGCATCTTCCTGAGTATCGGTCTTCGGGCCTCTTCGTTGGATAGTCATCCTGGCACTCAGACACCGGCCCGGCACTGAACGCTGAGCAGCTCAGTTTACAGCGCCAAGGAAGACAGCGAGCAGGCAGGTAGGGCCATTGTAATGCAGAAGAGACATTGCTTATAGAATATAGATGGCTATATTCATTCTATTTTATTCTATTTTCTACTCTTTTACCCTCTCCTCTTCTATCCTCTTTTACCCTCTCCTCTTCTCCTCTTTTATCCTCTCCTCTCTATCCTCTCCTCTACTCTCCTCTTCTATCCTCTCCTCTTCTATCCTCTCTCTTCTACTCTTCTATCCTCTTCTTCTATCCTCTTCTATCCTCTCCTCTTCTATCCTCTCCTCTCTTCTACTCTTCTATCCTCTCCTCTCTCTCTCTTCTATCCTCTCCTCTACTCTCTCTTCTACTCTCTATTCTATCCTCTCCTCTTCTATCCTCTCTCTCTTCTTCTATACTCTATCCTCTCCTATACTCTCCTCTTCTATACCTCTCCTCTTCTATACTCTCCTCTCCTCTTCTATCCTCTATTCTCTTTTTTTTTACTCTCCTCTATTCTATTTCTACTTTTTCCTTTCTATTCTTTTCTATTCTATTTTATTCAATTCTATGCTATTCTATAAAGCAGCCTAAGTAGGAATCATCATCTTTTTCACTTTTGTACTTACTGTGTTTATAGGTTTTCCATTTCAAATCTGCGGTATACTGACGGCACTATAATGCTTCTTGGAAGAAACTCCACATTTCTGGTCTGGATACCAGGGTGTTCCCTCAAGACAGGCTTCGTCCGTGAACTGACCCTACCTGTCATGATCCTCAGAGTTATGCACTTTTCCTCGATCTACCACTCGCGCCCAGTGCTTGAACAAGGATGCTATTCCCATTATAGAAGGTCCCCTACGTAGATGGCCACCAAGATCGTGATCAGCATCCTAATAAGACACTTTCTCTAAGATACTCACCCACTACTGTAATTAATACAGTGTCTATAACAGAGGGGGGAACTTTACAGACAGGGCTGACAACTCTGGATGGGATTTCTGCAGCAGAAGTATAGAGTTGTCATCCGGAACTTAGGACTCCATTTCTAGCAGATAACAGTTATTTTCTTGCAGGGTTTTTCAAGGAAAGTGTGTGTTGGAGCACTCCACATTTCTCTTATGGTCTGGTATACCAGGGTGTTCCAAAGCTGGCAAGACAGGCTTCGTTTCCGTGAACTGGCCCTACCTGTTCAAACCATGGCATCAGACTCATGAAAAAGTTATGCACTTTATCCCTCTGATCTACCACTCGCCCCAGTGCTTGAACAATGGATGCGGGTACCCTATTATAGAAGGTCCCACACAAAGATGGCCGCCAGAGATCTTGAGGTTGCAGCATCCTCCAATAAGACAGCTGGCTTCTCTAAGATACTCACCCACTCCATCTGTAATAATGGCACAGTGCCATCTATGGAACAGAGGGGGGAACTGCACCTGCCTACAGACAGGGCTGACAACTCTGGATGGGATTTCAGTGCAGCAGAAGTATAGAGTTGTCATCTTAAAAACAGGAACTTAGGAGCTCCCTGGATTTCTAGCAGATCAACAGTTATTCTTCTGTATTTGCAGGGTATTTCAAGGAAGGTGCATGTTGGAGCATTCAGCCAACATCCTTCTCTTATGGGCAATGGTATGCAGAGCGGGGGAAGGGAGCACACAAAGCTGGCCACATGTGGAAATATAGTTTCTCATGATATGGCCCTATGGAATGAACACTAAGATGGCCACCAGAGATCTTGAGGTTGCAGCATCCAATAAGACAGCTGGCTTCTCTGAGATACTGACCCACTCCATCTGTAATAATGGCACAGTGCCATCCATGGAACAGAGGGGGGAACTGCATCTGCCTACAGACAGGGCTGACAACTCTGGATGGGATTTCAGTGCAGCAGAAGTATGGAGTTGTCATCTTAAACCTGAAACTTAGGAGCTTCATGGATTTCTAGCAGATCAACAGTTCTTTTTCTGTATTTGCAGGGTTTTTAAAGGAACACAAAATGGGCAAATGTACATTCTAAGCAGTGAATAAAATGAGTGCCTGCTCCATAAATATCATGGCGGTCATTGGACAGCATTCATCTAATCCACAGGTGTCAAACTGGCGGCCCTCCAGCTGTTGCCAAACTACAAGTTCCATGAGGCATTCAAGATAGACAGTTACAAGCATGGCTCCCAAAGGCAGAGGCATGATGGGACTTGTAGTTTTGCAACAGATGGAGCGCCACCAGTTTGACCCCCTTGATCTAATGCAGTGTTTCTCAACTCCAGTCCTCATGGACCCCCAACAGGTCATGTTTTCAGGATTTCCATTATTTTGCACAGGTGATTTGCTCAGTTTCACTGCCTTTAGCTGTTTCATCTGAGGGAAATCCTGAAAACATGACCTGTTGGGGGTCCATGAGGACTGGAGTTGAGAAACACTGATCTAATGTAATCTTGTAGCAGGATCATCACATATCTATTATGCAATTTCCTATAAAAACCTTTCTGGGTTTTTTTAGCCTCCCACTTGCTGTACAGAATATGAAGACCACCAGATTAGACACTTGCCCAGTAGCATCTTGCACAGGCCGCAGTTCTTTGTGAGCAGATTAGAGGAGTCCTGGTTTCTGGGACATTCCACAAACCGCTGGAGTGGTGCGCAGCCTCAGGGCAGGTGCGTGTTAGAGCATCCGGCCAACATCCTTCTCTTATCGGCAATGGTATGTAGAGCGGGGGAAGGGAGCACACAAAGCTGGCCAACATATGGAATTATAGTTTCTCATGATATGGCCCTATGGAGTGAAATCAATCCGTGCATGGCATACAGACTATGAAAGAGTGAGCACGGGCTGCAAGAGTCTATCTCAGCCTTTTCCAACCAGGGTGCCCAGGCACCCCGAGGTGCCTTGAGGTTTCTTCAGGGGTGCCTTGGCAAAATGTCTAAAAATTGTCCAAAACTTGTATACAAGCCAGCGGGTGGAACAAACCGGCCTTTTAGTTACACAAATCCACTGGTAGGAGGAATAGAAGATTCCATTATTACCTGAGGGCAGGATAGGCTTCCCTGAAGAGAGAGGTTTTCAGAGATCGCCTAAAAGCAGAGTGAGCAGAGTAGGCGATAGTCTGATAGATTGGGGTAGAGAGTTCCAGAGGATGGGGGAAGCTCTGGAGAAGTCCTGGGGATGAGCATGGGAGGAGGAGACAAGGAAGCTAGAGAGCGGGAGGTGGTACAAGGAGTGGAGAGTACGGTTTGGGTGATATTTGGAGACAAGATTGGTGATGTAATTAGGGGCAGAGTTATAAATGGTTTTATATGTTATTGTTAATGGTTTGAATTTTATCCGTTAGGCAATGGGAAGTCAGTGGAGGGATTGGCAGAGAGGGGTGGAGGACACCAAGTGGAGGCCAGTGGAGGGATTGGCAGAGAGGAATGGAGGACACTGAGTGGAGGTCAGTGGAGGGATTGGCAGAGAGGGGTGGAGGACACCAAGTGGAGGCCAGTGGAGGGATTGGCAGAGAGGAATGGAGGACACTGAGTGGAGGCCAGTGGGGGGATTGGCAGAGAGGGGTGGAGGACACTGAGTGGAGGCCAGTGGAGGGATTGGCAGAGAGGGGTGGTGGACACTGTGTGGAGGCCTGTGGAGGGAATGGCAGAGAGGGGTGGAGGACACTGAATGGAGGCCAGTGGAGGGATTAGCAGAGAGGGGTGGAGGACACTGAGTGGAGGCCAGCGGAGGGTTTGACAGAGAGGGATGAGGACACTGAGAGGAGGGATTGGCAGATAGGAATGGAGGACACTGAGTGGAGGCCAGCGGAGTGATTGGCAGAGAGGAATGGAGGACACTGAGTGGAGGGATTGGCAGAGAGGAATGGAGGACACTGAGTGGAGGGATTGGCAGAGAGGAATGGAGGACACTGAGTGGAGGGATTGGCAGAGAGGAATGGAGGACACTGAGTGGAGGCCAGTGGAGGGATTGGCAGAGAGGAATGGAGGACACTGAGTGGAGGCCAGTGGAGGGATTGGCAGAGAGGAATGGAGGACACTGAGTGGAGGCCAGTGGAGGGATTGGCAGAGAGGAATGGAGGACACTGAGTGGAGGTCAGTGGAAGGATGGCAGATATGGAATGGCTAGTAAGAAGGTGAAGTCTACAAGATTTGGACAGCGACTGCATTATTAGAGTGCAGCTCTCCTTGCACCGAAGGCCATTTAGCTTTGATGCCAGCAATCTTGCACAACTTGCATTGGGCCTGTGAGACGGCTCTGGAGGTTGTTTGCACTCTGACGGTCCCTTTAAATAAACCATGTCTAACGGGTTAATTAGCCGGTTCCGGGAGTATCTGTACACAAAGCCGTCTGTATTCTCAGCCGTGATCATGTGAGCAGATTACAGCAAACTCCTCTACCATGTGAATCCCAACTGAGAGCACACACTGCCTGCACCATCTTCATCCAACAACAGGCAGCAGATGGCTGCACAGCCTCTGTTATCCTCAGAGAAATCACCGGAGAATAGCGCTTCTTCCTCACATCATTTCATTTTTAATGTGGTGTTTGCTGGAAGACAATGGAGGGCTCCGTGTAAGTGAACAGGAAGTGAGAAAAAACTCTTTACACGGGGACACCTGCTTTTGTGAAACACCTACAGCGTTTCTCACCATTCCCTAAGTCTAGGTTCACACCTTCGCATTTGGTATTTTGCAGAAAAACGTCCATTTATCAGGATTTCCTATGGGACATGCTCACATTTTTTCCAGTGCATTTTTTGGAAATGGTCAGGGACTTTTTTTAAATGCAAAACATTACGTTTTGGTTCAATAGACTTTAATGGAGACACTGCAGCAATGCATACAGTGCGTTTTTGATGAGTTTTGCACCTTAATCTGCCCAGCAACAAGTTGGCAGAAAAAAGAAAATGCAAAACGCATCAAAAACACGTAAAAAAAGCATGGGCAAAACCGCAAAAAGTGCTGCAGGAACGGGTCAAACGCAAACTGCATAGGTGTGAACCGAGCCTAAGTCAGTGATCTCTGAATTGTAGCCTGTGGGTCAGATGCAGCCCTTTGCTTACCTTTAGCTTACCATGGTGCACTGTTCCTCCTATTCACATCAACTATGTGACACCATTCCTTCCACTGATACTGACAATGGGGCCTTATTCCTCCCACTGACACCAACGATGGGGCACTATTCCTCCCACTGACACCAATGATGGGGCACTATTCCTCCCACTGACACCAACGATGGGGCACTATTCCTCCACTGACACCAATGATGGAGCACTATTCCTCTCACTGACCCCAATGATGGGGCACTATTCCATCCACTGACACCAACGATGGGGCACTATTCCTCCCACTGACACCAATGATGGAGCGCTATTCCTCCCACTGACACCAATGATGGAGCACTATTCCTCCCACTGATACCAATGATGGGGCACTATTCCCCCCACTGATACCAATGATGGGGCACTATTCCTCCCACTGATACCAATGATGGGACACTATTCCATCCACTGACACCAATGATGGGGCACTATTCTTCCCACTGACACCAACAGTAGAGCTCTGTTCCTCCTACTGATGCCAACAGTAGGGCACTATTCCACTCCACTGACACCAATGATGAGGCACTATTCCTCCTACTGACACCAATGATGGGGCACTATTCCTCCCCACTGACACCAATGATGGGGCACTATTCCTCCCACTGACACAAGTGATAGGGCACTCCCTCCTACTGACACCAATGATAGGGCACTATTCCTCCAACTAACACCAATGATGGCGCACTATTCCATCCACTGACACCAATGATTGCGCACTATTCCATCCACTGACACCAATGATTGCGCACTGTTCCATCCACTGACACCAATGATGGTGCACTATTACTCCCACTGACACCAATGATGAAGCACTATTTCCCACTGACTCCAATGATGAGGCACTATTCTTCCCACTGACACCAATGATAAGGCACTATTCCTCCCACTGACACCAATGATGGGGCACTATTCCTCCCACTGACACCAATGATGGGGCACTATTCCTCCCACTGACACCAATGATGGGGCACTATTCCTCCCACTGATACCAATGATGGGACACTATTCCTCCCACTGACACCAATGATGGGGCACTATTCCTCCCACTGATACAAATGATGGGGCACTATTCCTCCCACTGACACCAATGATGGGGCACTATTCCTCCCACTGACACCAATGATGGAACACTTTTCCCTCTGCTACTGACCACAGACACATATGTAATTTTTTACTCCCACTGACCACCTGAGACATTGTCTATTCCTACTGGAAACATTCTGCCCCACCTAAAGTCTGAAGGACAGAAAATTGTCCTTTTGTTAGAAAGTTTGGAGACCTCTTCCCTAGCCAAAAAAATAAATAAATAAAAAAACAAAGCATGCGCGAGAGGTACATCTTCAGTGCCTGACCTATTACAGAAGCAAGAAGACAGTTGTCCCGAAGTAGAGGGAATAAAAAGGCATCGGTAGGGACAGAGCGGATGGAGGGAGCTTGGACCTCACATTGCTGGAAAAGAGCAGACCCAAAAGGTACAGGTGAAACTCGAAAAATTAGAATATGGTGCAAAAATTCATTTATTTCAGTGCAGCAACTTAAAAGGTGAAACTAATATATGAGATAGACTCATTACATGCAAAGCAAGATAGTTCAAGCCGTGATTTGTCATCATTGTGAGGATTATGGCTTACAGCTCATGAAAACCCCAAATCCACAATCTCAGAAAATGAGAATATTGTGAAAAGGTGGAATATTCTCGGCTCAAAGTGTCCCACTCTAATCAGCTAATTAAGGTCGTTTTTTGTTTTTGCCTTTAGCCCTGTCAGGTGGAAGCATTTGGGTGGCAGCACTGCCACCTGATTGCTTCCAAACAGCCCACAGTGCCAGCCGCCGACCCCCCCCCCCCCCCCCCACTTGCCCATCTGCAGGCCCAGAACTGGTTCAGTGGGTGCCAGCGGTATGTCGGGATGCGGGTATAACGAGAGGAGAGCAGACATGTCCGTTCCCCTCCCCTTCTTGTCATGACCTGGAAGTGAGGGGACGTCACTTCTGGGTACCCGTTGACAGATTCCTAGCCATCGAGGCCGGGAAATAATGTAATGCGGTGCGATGTGCGGGGAGAGCGGAAATAGTGAATGCCGGGTCCTGGGAGAGTGGATATAGTGGATGCAGGGTTCGGGGAGACCGGATATAGTGAATGCAGGGTCCGGGGAGACCAGATATAGTGAATGCAGGGTCCGGGGAGACCTGATATAGTGAATGCAGGGTCCGGGGAGACGGAATTATAGTGAATGCAGGGTCCGGGGAGAGAGCGGATATAGTGAATGCAGGGTCCGGGGAGACGGGATATAGTGAATGCAGGGTCCGGGGAGAGCGGATATAGTGAATTCAGGGTCCGGGGAGAGCGGATATATAGTGAATGCAGGGTCCGGGGAGAGCGGATATAGTGAATGCAGGGTCCGGGGAGACCGGATATAGTGAATGCAGGGTCCGGGGAGAGCGGATATAGTGAATGCAGGGTACGGGGAGAGCGGATATAGTGAATGCAGGGTCCGGGGAGAGCGGATATAGTGAATGCAGGGTCCGGGGAGAGCGGATATAGTGAATGCAGGGTCCGGGGGAAGAGCGGATATAGTGAATGCAGGGTCCGGGGAGAGGGGATATAGTGAATGCAGGGTCCGGGGAGAGCGGATATAGTGAATGCAGGGTCCGGGGAGAGCGGATATAGTGAATGCAGGCGGGGGGAGAGCGGATATAGTGAATGCAGGGTCCGGGGAGAGCGGATATAGTGAATGCAGGGTCCGGGGAGAGCGGATATAGTGAATGCAGGGTCCGGGGAGAGCGGATAGTAGAGAATGCAGGGTCCGGGGAGAGCGGATATAGTGAATGCAGGGTCCGGGGAGAGCGGATATAGTGAATGCAGGGTCCAGGGAGAGACCGGATATAGTGAATGCAGGGTCCGGGGAGACGGATATAGTGAATGCAGGGTCCAGGGAGAGCGGATATAGTGAATGCAGGGTCCGGGGAGAGCGGGTGAATGCAGGGTCCGGGAGAGCGGATATAGTGAATGCGGGGTCCGGGGAGAGCGGATATAGTGAATGCAGGGTCCGGGGAGAGCGGATATAGTGAATGCAGGGTCCGGGGAGAGCGGATATAGTGAATGCGGGGTCTGGGGAGACCAGATATAGTGAATGCAGGATCCGGGGAGAGCGGATATAGTGAATGCCGGGTCCTGGGAGAGTGGATATAGTGAATGCAGGGTCCAGGGAGAGCGGATATAGTGAATGCAGGGTCCGGGGAGAGCGGATATAGTGAATGCAGGGTAGACCAGATATAGTGAATGCAGGGTCCGGGGAGAGCAGATATAGTGAATGCAGGGACCAGGGAGAGCAGATATAGTGAATGCAGGGTCCAGGGAGAGCGGATATAGTGAATGCAGGGTCCAGGGAGACCGGATATGGTGAATGCAGGGTCTGAGGAGAGCGGATATAGTGAATGCAGGGTCCGGGGAAACCGGATATAGTGAATGCAGGATCCAGGGGAGAGCGGATATAGTGAATGCAGGGTCCTGGGAGAGCGGATATAGGTGAATGCAGGGTCCGGGGAGAGCGGATATAGTGAATGCAGGGTCCGGGGAGAACCGGATATAGTGAATGCAGGGTCCGGGGAGACCGGATATAGTGAATGCAGGGTCTGGGGAGACCAGATATAGTGAATGCAGGGTCCATGGAGACCGGATATAGTGAATGCAGGGTCCGGGGAGAGACCAGATATAGTGAATGCAGGGTCCGGGGAGACCAGATATAGTGAATGCAGGGTCCGGGGAGACCAGATATAGTGAATGCAGGGTCCGGGGAGAGCAGATATAGTGAATGCTGGGTCCTGGGAGAGCGGATATAGTGAATGCAGGGTCCGGGGTTTAGTCACACTTTAAAAACAGGTCCCTCACTGCATTCTGTTAAGATGTTAATAACACAGGCTGATCAAACCCTGAAGAAAGGAGGGGGGGTTGGCTGAATCTGATGCTCTTAACCATTAAATGTTTCAGAAAGTCCTTTAAGTGAGATGACATTTTGTACCAGGCACTTCCCTGTATGCATCCAAAAAGATCCACCCCTCCTGCATTCTCTACCACCAGTGGTCAAACCCACAGTCCGGGCAGTGAGATGTGGCCAATCCAGTGCCTCCTCTCCTCCCTTCATATGGCAGCTGTCCATCAAGGACAGAGAGAGCAGAAGGATCCTCCATCCAATCATAATGGTACCCAGGGCTTAGCTGCGTTAAAGGGGTGGTAAGTCTGGCTGAACTTTGGCTTCTATATTTAAGGAGATCTGGAAACAGAAATAATTATAAAAATATAGATTTTATAAATGTGCATCAAAAGAACAGCCAATCATTTTCTTTCTACCTCTGCTTCCAACATCTAACAGGGAAGCAGCCATCAATTCTGTTCAGTGGTTACTGGTGACATCAGGATCTATGATGCATTCATGCGGTCACATGCTGCTAAGATGTTGTTTAGGCACAAGCGTTGTTGGCTCATTGTGAAAGCACAACATGCCAGAAGGTGCCTTAAGGAGAATACGTTTTCATAAACAAATGTTTTTCCTTTCTTGTTCTTAAGGAAGACTTTAGTAAAAAAAAACAACACCATTTTGTTTCAAATCAACTTTATGCATTGATTTCCCTTCATAGACCCAGTCTGTCCAGACAGTATGGCCACTTGCTGACTTGGCACCATCCACAGGCAGCTTAAGTCCCTGTACACACGATGAGAATTTCAGGTGAAAACTCTTGTACGACAGAATAAAAAATTTGAAAGTGTTGTATATGTATTGTATTTTCAGAGGAAAACTACTGATTAAACGAAAATCGTACGATTTGGTATCGTACGAGAAAAATGTTCATGCTTGTCCCTTCGAATAATTTCAAACGAAAGCTGTGCACTAAATCGGATTATCGTACGATCGCTTCGAAAGTGGTGTTTTTTTGTACGATTTTCTGACGGTGTGTACTAGGCTTAACTCTTCAATAAGACACATAAGTTTAATCCAACGCAGATCCAACTTCAGATAATTGCAGTACAGAGGATGTTTTTCTAGTCTACTGTATTGTACAAAGACAACTTTCCTGGGAACTGTCTCTGCAAAGAACTAAAACTGGCTAACGAAAGATGAAAGAAAAAGGGAGAGTTTACCTAGGACTGACAAACTAGCTCAAATCAGGAGGGGAGGACAGAGGGAGATACCAAATCAAAGTTTGTCATTGTATAGACATGTTTTATGATTTAAATGTATTCCGCGACACAAAGCCACACTCTTTAATAAAGTAGCTCACGGTGTAGAGTCTTTGGTAGAACCTAACACAACAGAGGTTTATATATACTAAATTGCCAAAAGTATTGGTCAGCCGGCCTTTCCACGCAGATGAACTTTAATGGCCCCCCAGTCTTAGTCCGTAGGGTTCAATATTGAGTTGGCCCCGCCCTTTGCAGCTATAACAGCTTCAACTCTTCTGGGAAGGCCGTCCACAAGGTTTAGGAGGGTGTCTATGGGAAGGTTGGACCATTCTTCCAGAAGCACATTTGTCAGGTCAGGCACTGATGTCGGGGGAGGAGGCCTGGCTCACAGTCTCCGCTCTAATTCATCCCAAAGGTGTTCTATGGGGTTGAGGTCAGGACTCTGTGCAGGCCACTCAAGTTCCTCCACCCCAAACTGGCTCCTCCATGTCTTTATGGACCTTGCTTTTTGCACTGGTGGGCAGTCATGTTGGAACAGGAAGGGGCCATCCCCAAACTCTTCCCACAAAGTTGGGAGCATGAAATTGTCCAAAATGTCTTGGTATGCTGATGCCTTAAGAGTTCCCTTCACTGGAAATAGGGGGCCAAGTCCAACCCCTGAAAAACAACTCCACACCATAATCCCCCCTCCACCAAACTTTACACTTGGCACAATGCAGTCAGGCAAGTACCGTTCTCCTGGCAACTGTCAAACCCAGACACGTCCAATGGATTGCCAGAGAAGTGTGATTGGTCACTCCAGAGAACACGTCTCCACTGCTCTAGAGTCCAGTGGCAGCGTGCTTTACACCACAGCATCCGCCGCTTTGCATTGCACTTGGTGATGTAAGGCTTGGATGCAGCTGCTCGGCCATGGAAACCCATTCCATGAAGCTCTCTACGCACTGTTGTTGTGCTAATCTGAAGGCCACACCAAGTTTGGAGGTCTTTAGGTATTGAGTGCACTGTGCGCTAACCCCTCTCTGTCATTTTACGTGGCCTACCACTTGGTGGAGTTGCTGTTGTTCCCATTTGCTTCAGCTTTGTTATAATCCCACTAACAGTTGAGCGTGGAATATTTAGTAGCCAGGAAATGTCACGGATGGACTTATTACACAGGTAGCCACCTATCACGGGACCACGCTTGGAGTCACTGAGCTCCTGAGAGCGACCCATTCTTTCACAAATGTTTGTAGAAGCAGTCTGCATTATTATTATACAGGATTTATATAGCGCCAACAGTTTGCTCAGCGCTTTACAATGTAAGGGAGATGGTACAATTACATTACATTTCAGTACAGAAGGAATAGGAGGGCCCGGCTCGTGGAGCTTACAATCTAAAGGAAGAGGGAGGTGATACAAAAGGTGATAGCTGTGGGGTATGATCTGGTGTAGGGGTTTCAAGTACAGTTCTTAGGTGGAGGTGGGGTAGGATTCCCTGAAGAAGAATGCATGCCTAGGTGCTTGATTTTTATACACCTGCGGCCATGGAGGTGATTGGTACACCTGACTATAATGATTTGGAGGGCTGGCCCAATACTTTTGGCAAAACAGTGTATATAAAAACGTTGTATGTATTTCACAATCATTTGCCTTTTGTTTGCTCAGCTGGAAGCCTTTTGTGAAGTCACGAGACCTGTCTTCATTAAGCCCTAATGCAGGCCATAAATGGGTCGAAAATCGGCCGATTTTTCGGCCGAAAATAAAATCGGCCGATTTTCGGATCGTTAGTGGGCGATTTGGTCGGCCGTTTTTCGGTATTTTGGCCGTTTTTTTTTTTTCGGTAAAGTTGGAAAAAAAATCGGCCGATTTTTGCCGATCGGCCGATTTTCGCGGCAATTAGTGGGCAAATCGGCCGATTTTTTACCGATAAAAAATCTGCGCATGAGCAGTGACCTGCAAGAGGAAGAGAAAAAGAAGAAAAAGAAGAAGAGGAAGAGGATGAAGAAGAGGATGAAGAAGAAGAGGATGAAGAAGAAGAAGAGGATGAAGAAGAAGAAGAAGAGGATGAAGAAGAAGAGGATGAGGATGAAGAAGAAGAGGATGAGGATGAAGAAGAAGAAGAGGAGGAGGAGGATGAGGATGAAGAAGAAGAGGATGAGGATGAAGAAGAAGAAGAGGATGAGGATGAAGAAGAAGAGGATGAGGATGAAGAAGAAGAGGATGAGGATGAAGAAGAGGTTGAGGATGAAGAAGAAGAAGAGGGTGAAGAAGAAGAAGAAGAAGAGGATGAAGAAGAAGAGGAAAGAAGAGGATGAGGATGATGAAGAAGAAGAGGATGAGGAAGAAGAAGAAGAGTATGAGGATGA